ACCCCTAAACCCCTAAACCCATTCCCCATGCACCCGGATAAGTTATAGACTGATGACCTCTCCCAAACGCAGCCACCTAAGAGCCACCTTACCCTAAACCCTGTAAACCCTAACCTTAAAGTATTAGGGTTATATTAGGGTTATATCAGGGTTATATTAGGGTAGTATGACGGTTATATTGGGGTAGTATGAGGGTTATATTAGGGTAGTATTACTGTAGGGTTATATTAGGGTAGTATTAGGTTAACTCTATAAACCCCTAAACGCTTGAACCCTAAACTCTATAACCCTGAAACACCCTATAAATCCTATGAACCCTATTCCGTACAATAACCCTACAAACCCTAAACCCCCTAACCCTTGAAACCCTTAACCCCAGAAACCTGATATGACCCCAGAAACGCTAGAAGCCCAATAACCCTATAAACCATGTGACTCGAAACCACTAGCACTTCGAAGCTGGGACCGATATCACCACAGCTCGAATCTCGAGATCTGCTTCGCTTAAGGCACCAGCACACAAGGTGTTCATTTGGGTACATCATATAGGGTCAGCGTTTGGGGTTTTAGGGTTCAGGTACATGTACTTAGGGCCTTAGGGCCAAAACGGCTTCCCAAAAAACTACTTTGGCGACTCTGCCCACAAAGTCTCTTGTTGCTACATGTTGCTGCCTCTCCCATCCCCCAAACAATTACCACCTCTTGCCTCTACTAATACATTCTGCCAATGTGTAGTATAGTACCACTGCGAAATAAGGGGTGCATTCATTATAAGGGGGTTTGGAGATGTATTGCTAGGGGAGTGGATTAGTACTCACTCCAGGGGATCGGCGCACACGATCATCATCATACTTCCATAACATGAGAAATGTTATTGACTTAGGCTTAAGGGGTGCACTTAGGAATTAAAGAGCCGTAAACCTAAGAATGGGTTCTTGAGGAAACAAACTCCAAGCACAAGCTCGACACACTTACAATGAGAACTAACCCCAAGCGCATTTGAGCTATAATCTAAACTCCTAGTATCCCCCTTAATGAGCCGCTCTAATCCTCCCCTATATAACCCCCCTTTAAGGAGTTTCCACTATAGTGCATTTGGCAAATTACTCCGTTGTGTCCAGTTTCGGACCGCCTGACAAGCAAACCGCTGCTCAGCGAATCCCGAGACGGGCTGTGTTAAGGGCTCATAGTAACTTACCACAATTTACCATAATATACCTGGGTATACTATCATATACTATACTATACTATACTACATATAACATACTGTTTAGGGATGTTTAGGGTTTAGGGTCTGGATCTCCCAACTGCCCGCAGGATTCTCCAATACATGTGTCGCTATGGGGTTAGAGGCAATGGGCCTGAGTTGCTAGGTCCAGGTCTGGGTTTCGGAATTTAAGGCTGCTTTCCTCTTCCAAAGGTCTCTTTCCCTAAGCTTTAAACCCTAAACCCCAAATCCTACACCCTCGTTATGTGTTGTATGCACGTTACTACACAAAGCTGGGCTGGGTAGCTTCTAGGCAGCCAAGCTTCTGGCGCATCAAGCTGGATGCCCACAGCTAGAATGAATGGGGCTGTGAGAGAAATCGGGAAGCCTTATAAACCCTAGATCCCTATGAGCCCCAGAAGCCCTAAACCCAAAATCTTGAACCCTACACCTTTCCCAGAAATTTTAGAAAGGCTTCTGGTTTTGGGAGGTCACCGGAGACATGCCGGCAATTCCCGCTATCCAGTACGCGAACCGCAAAGCACCAAAACGGCAGCCAGCATCGCAACAGTTTGAGAATGTCTTCATGTGCGGCACCTGTATAGTCTCGGTAGGACCCTCCGCTCCAATAAAACGCTATAAACTACCCAATAATCCCAGTCTCCATCTCATTTTCCATATTCTTTCCATTTGATTTTCCATTATTGGGGTATTATCATTATTATAACTTTCATCATTTCTATTAGTAATACCAAGCCTAAGTCCGAGTTCTTCTGCTAGCAGAATTCCTCAACTCTAAACCCTTGTCCCCAGAGCCTAAACTTAAGCCCCTTGTCCTCAAAGCCTGAACCATTCGGCCTCATCCCTTAACCCCAAGCCCTTAACAGCAGAACTTGCTGACTCCAGGAGGCTCCCTAGACCCTAAACCCTACGTAAAGCTTTTCAACCAACAGACCAGTGAAGGGCTGAGAGGTACTGCGTCGTAAAGGGAACTTGGTCCAAGTCCGCCTTCAGAGTTTGGGGGTGAGGGTGACGGAGATTTAGACTTTGGGATTAGGGTGGGGCGTTTAAAGTTTGAGGTTTAGAGTTTACACGGGTTTAGGGTCTAGGGTCTGAGGCTTAAAGGGTTTAGGCTTTAGGGGGTTAGAGTTTGGGAGCAGCGTTCAGGGTCGAGGCCCAGGGTCTCGGGATTAAGGTTGGGCTCAACAGGTCCAGGTGCCTAAAGTATAGACCTAGCAAAACCCTGAAGAGTCGAGGGCTCGTAGGCACGCTGGGTATTCGGATTGAGGGTGCCTGGCAAAGGGTGGTATAGCACAGGCTGCGATATGGCCTGAGGATTTAGCATTGAGAACTGAAAGGAAAGCAGGAGTGCAAGTCGCAGGAGGGACAACTGGGTTTAGAAATTAGGTTTCAACTACGCCACATTGTCACGCCAACGTACTAATCCACAGATGGAGAAGGCTCTTAAGAATTCGTCTTTCAGGTCAAGACCTCCGAAAGCCAAGAATAATCTGTTGGACGGCCTCTACTTCCCAAATGCCGTCCACGGCTGTCGCTGAAGGTCCCCGCCAGAAGGATTGCCCGGTTCATGTAGAACAGAAAAATACACCCCAGAATGCCTGAATCAAGATGCCTACCTGATCTCCCAAGTAGCCCTACTACTATAATCTTTAGACCAAAGCCATTGGCATACAGGCTGATTACAGATCTTTGGGAGGTACAGGTACATCCTAATCAAAATTCTGCACAGGGTGCACTCTGAAGAATTCAAAAAAAACAGGACAGCGCATGCTAGGAATTCAGGGTTTCGGTAAGTCGGTTTAGGGTTTAGGGTTTAGCTAATGTTTAGGTGCTGCCGTTTGGCCTGTCTTTTACAGAACCCTAGGGATCCAGGTAGCCCAATCTAAAGCAATTAACAGACTTGAGGGCCCAATGTAAGCATTATTTCACACTTAGATCTCTATATAGCCCCTTTATAACCCCAGTTTCCATTTCATTTTCCAATTTCTTTTCCATTTGATGCCTACGGGAAGAACGGCCATAAATCCAGAGCGATGCGGCTCAGGACGGCCAGACACCAAGCGCTTCACCAGAAGCCCTATTCTGGGTTGCAGTTCAGGAACTTAGCTCAAGTTACTCTAATTGGGGAAACCATATTAAGTACTATACAAATAAATATGAGGGTGTGCCGAAAAGGGGGGTTATCGCGTTCCGCGCCACAAGCCCTCTGTTACATACCCCTTGAAATGCCAGCCTGTTACGTACCCTTTGTCGCGTAGCCTTCGTGTCTTCCGCAAGACAAAAATCTTTGGGTATGTCGCGGAAACCTCCCTCTCTTACATACCCTATGTAATATGGGCCAAGGTCCCTGGTGCAAGCCAATGGTCTTGGCACGTGCCCATATATATACATATACCCATTATGGTAACTTAGCTATAAGTTAAGTTCCTTAACAGAAACCCCACAAACCCCACACCCAATTTTAAAATCATGGGCCTGTGAACCTTTGAACTAGCGGCCTGTACAATTGGATTGTCTTTAAAGCATGCTGCATTAAGCCTGCATTATAACTCATCAGCTCTATCGATCATAGGAACATAACTTTCCAGTCGTTCACTGAACCTGCCCCGGCATCCGCGCCCGTGTTAAACTGCGATTGGTACGGTTTAGTTGCAGCAACACGCGGGGGACTTATCTTGCAGGACGTTTTTGCGTCCTAAACGCCCACAATGAGGGGCCCCAAAGCACCAATTGAGCTAGAGTCTAAGCTCCTAGCGTTCCACTAAGTAACCCCTATAATACTCCCCTTCTAATACCCTTTCTAACCCCCTCTTGAAGGAGTGTAGACTATAGTTCATTTTGGGGTAGTTGGAGGGTCTAGGTTCATGGATCTCTGGGTCAGGTTTCTACATTTGTCTGAATCCCTCAAACTGTCCAGCGGGGTCTGAACTTCAAAATCCTGAGCCTTCGTGTTTAAATGGGTTAGAACTAGAACTGTTAAGGTGTAGGGTTTTGGAGGTGCAAATGCTTGAGTAGCGTGGACTTAGGTCTCACCAGAATGGAACCCTCTTCTTGGGTCACCTGGATCCTTAGACCCTTCTGGGGGCCCTGAACCCTAAATTGCGGCCGGGACCACAAGAACGAGCCAGGTCAGACTCTGTTCCTCGAAAAGCCTCAGCTGCTTGACTGTTTATGGTTTAGACCTAGGGTTTAGGAAACTTAGACGCTACAACCACCCATCCGAATACCATTATTTAGATTTAGAAGAAAAGGAATCATATCCTCGGACCATATTGAAGGAAAACCTGGATCATTCCGGCCGCTTCTCCAGCAGAGACAAGTCCCTTCCTATGCCCCTTGAGCATTTAATATGCCACCAATACGTGAAGCTTTCAAGCTTGAAAGGAGCCGAGGGGAGTCCTTCCCGAAGAGCTTACCCTACAGGGACCCAAATAGCTCGTCTCTTCAGGGTTCTATCCAATACCACAGCTTACACAGCGAAGTTTCCTATCACAGGCCGCCCCCAGTTTACGATAATCCTACTATGGGGGCTCTCACAAAAGACGCTCCAATTTCTTGGGAAATCCTCAAATGCAAGAAGAAACAAACCATCTGTTGTTTTTGCTGTTAGCATGCTTCTACCGCTACTGCGGCTCCAGGAACACCTGTCTGGGCTTGGGGTTCTAGGGCCTGTGTTTCTGAATGGTAGTAGTACCAATAGACTAATAATGAATACGAATCATAATACTCCTAATGATTATCATAGTATTTGGAGCAGGAGCCTAAATCCTAAACTCTAAACCCGAAACCTCCACCCTCAACTTTGCATTTTGAGGGTAGCATGATTCGCTGTGAGATTCAGACTTCCTGATTCTCATTCCTTCACGGGATAGGGCGGGCACTATACTCTCTGCAAGGTTTCTTGCGAGGGGCTGGGGGTGTTGAGGGATGCAGGTATACACAGTCGCACAAACTCTTCGCATCACAGCGTAACTTACATAAAGACTCATGAACTTCACGCTTCGGCAACCCAAATCGCGAGGTATTGGACAAGGCGTCATGGCAATCCTCGAATGTATTCCACATCAATGCACAAGATCTCTTCTCGACACATGGAAAAAGTATCTAGGATTTCCGCTGGCGAAAACTGTCAGACGTTGCAGGAAAATGCTGACATGCGCCGTATTTTCTGCACCTGTGGAGAAGCAAACAACCTGACCGCTGATGATTCCAAAGCTTCCAAGCCTAGAACAGCCGACGAAACCACTCCCAGTCCCTGGTGCCGGCATAGTTTAGGAGGACCCTGCACCCTGTAGTGGTGGTATAAGAGGAATATAAGAGGACCCTAATATGATCCTTTTTATCCCTTATAGTCACTATTACAGGGCGGGGGGGAGCATAATGGCTACAAGAACCACAGAAGATGTTCAAATACCGTTGGGCGGAAACCGCCGTTCTGACCTCCTTACAGCACCTGCCTCTTCCAAGGTTTGTCACACCATACTTTCGAAGACACAACTTCTAAGCAGAAAAAGCACGCGAAGCATCGAAAAAACAAACTCATCAACTGCAAACCAAACCTTTTCTCAACATCCAACTGTGTAAATTCAATGCACCTGCTATACTTTCATACGCCCATGATGCGCCGATGCCTGGAATATCCCCACACCTAGTCCTACCGGTTCGACTATCCGTGCGTGACACAAACAGTTCGGGCAAACGTATATGACGCACCCTTGGGCTAGAAATTCAAATAGCCTGATAAACTCGTATTCATGATTGGCTTTGGTATAATTCCCCAACAGCGGATTCGCTTAAGGGTCTACAATCTGTAAGCAAAGGCACGGTGACCAAGTTTCGGGTAACGGGTTCCCGAGAAAGTAAGGGACGTGTGCGCGCGTGACGACTGTAGAAACTGGATCTGGCCTTTGAATCAAAAATCATCTATATTGGGGGCGGCGCGAGATCGCAACAGTCTTTTCACAGGAACATGTCT